CTGTTCTTTGCAGTTGGTAAAATGACAGTTCAGACTTAACTTTTACATAAGCTATTCTTAGGCTCCCCCTCCCAAGACATTCTTGAACTATTTCCATTATACAGGACACATACTCCAGGGATCGTTTTATGCTTTGATGGAGTTATTAGGCAATCACTGTATCCTGAGTCATTATTAGAGGTCACGCTGCAGATCCAGAAGCACAGGAAGAGTAGCAGAAAGTCTAGAAGTCAGAGGGGGTTGATTAGTAAAATAATGATCATTTTGTGGGCTCTTCTCTTTAGCTGAGCTTCCCCAGCCCACTACCCACAAGCCACTTATTTCCCTGTTAACTCTAGCACCTCTTCTCCCGGTGAAAGCAGCCCAGGACATGTGTGCAGGTTTAAGGCCGAAAGGCAGGGTCAGCCTTCCCCGTACATAATCACTGTTTTATGACTTTCACTCATTCCTGAGGTGTTAATGCAGATCAAATGGGAAACACTCGAGACAGAACCCTGGCAGCTACTGCTCTGCCTGGCTCTCCCCTCTCAATCGTTAATTCTTATTGTAAGATCTAAAGGTAATTTTGTTTGCTCTCTTAATGCCTTGCAGGTCTCCCAATGGCCCTTACATATCCTTTCTCAAATTCCCATCTTGATCAATTGTTTGCAAATAATTAAGCTTTTAAGAGATAATGGCAGGAGGCTAATGTACACAACAAAGGCAAGGTCTCCCTCACTGTCTATTGGACTGTGGTCAGATTTACTCTGATATTCCGGAGTGATTAAGTTGATTGGTATAGCGGGCAAATGCTGTAAATCTGCCTTTCATAAGAACCTACTGATCTTTGTTAAACTAATGTTCTCCTCATTTAGATGCCGTAAAGCAAAGGTATTCAGGAAAATGGCCAGGGGTGGCCTTAATTGCAATGGTTTGGAAAGAGTTTCCCATTTTATCCTTAAAGTGGCATTTTTCAGGGCTCATCCTTTATCTCTTGAAAAATGATACCTGCGTTTGCCCATCACATGGCCTCATCCACCCTACGGGTGGAACGCACCAGGGCTCTAGGTGTTTTTACAGCAACTTTGCCTGTGACATATTGGCTTTTAGTCAAATCATATTTTTTTTAGGTCTACAAAGGAATAATTCATGGTACCCACAAAAAAACTTATCTAGTAAAGATGTATAGGATTTAGGATATTTAAACATACTGGGTTTCAGTTGAAAAGCCTCCTTTTTTTGTGAATTTTTGTGGATTAGCTACACAAAGTCATGGCTTTCATGTGATTCTAGCCATTGTAGACTTTTTTTTCAGGGAATTGAAAAGTTTATGGGACACTAAGACCGAGAACCACAGGAAAAAAACCAAACCAAACCAACCAATCAAACAAAAAACTCAGTCAGTTCACCCACCAAAGATAAGGGTTTAGAAAATTTGCTGCTACCTTTGCTCCTTCCTTCAAATTATTAGGCCACTTAATTTTGTTCAGACTCATTCATTTCCTTGTAGATATATAAGAAAACGTATCTTAAACAACTAAAATGCCTTCATAGAGACAGAGTACGGAGTTTCCATAGCTTGAGGCTGCCTAGCAATTATGATGCATGAAATTAGACACAGTTTGCTTCAATTACTTAGAATCAGATCACATGAAAAGTGACAGAGGGAGAAAAAGACAGACCTTTATCATTTTGTAATAGTTAAGTTATGAAATCAGCAATTATATGAGGTGGAGAACAACTGAAATTTGCACTGAAAATTTGAGGACTATTACTGTTCTTTAATGATGTACAATTCAGGTAGTTTTAATGACCCAAAGAGAATTTCCCTGACATCACATGCATAAATGAAATGTGAGCTCCACTTGCTTTGTAAGAATGTATATAAAACTTGCTCACAAACAGGCATGCAAAAATACTCTTGAAAACACAAGACAAATAAATTACTGTGGCAGTTCTCAATTTCCAGAGTAACTAAAGATAAATGGCATAAATATTAATTTTTTTCCAGTTCTGATCATAACATTAAGACACCACTAACAAGACGGGATAAAGGTGTTATCAACTCTTCTGAAAAAGAGCTATTGAGATATTTAGTTGTTCTATTGAAATCCATATTGCCACAAGAATTGGAAAGCTATAAGAAATAGTTACAGAAAATGTAGATTGGAAATTGTTTGCAAGCGTGTCCACACCTTCAGATGGTAAATAATGTCTGTAGTTGGGTGTTAAAATATGTATATTTCAAAACTCAGTTAATAATTCGTATTGGGTAATACCATAAGGGCTGCTAGCATGAGTAACCTTCAACTTCAGTGTGTCTTAGAACTCTGGTAACAAAACTGAGGGTTAGAAAAATTGTCCCTTGTTCAAAGTGGCTTAGTTGATAAGTGGCAGCATAATTTGTACATTCTAATAAAGTCACTTATATTATGTACAATTCTTCAACTAGTACAGATACAGCACTAGTATATATCAAATTATCACTCAATATTATGTTCATAGGATAAAAGATTCATTTGGTGTGAGTTGTGTGGCAAACATTTATACAGTAGTAATTATGTTTTCAACCTGAGAGAATCGAGGAGTTTTTAGCTGAGATCATGAGATTTTTGGCTACAACCGTCAGTATTGTTTTAAGTAGGGTCATCGTCACCTATGACCTTATGCCTCATATGACATTTGTATTTGAAAAGAGTAGATTGACATCACTTTCAAACATGAAACAGAGAAAGCAGTGTAATAGATGAATCTCAATTTGGACTGATTATATTTTCTGTGGGCTTTGAAAAAAATTTGTCACTCTGATGCTGCAACTGAGTGGAGAGTATCTATGTATCTTAATAAGCGATGACTATTGTCTTAGGTGCACAAATACTTACTGATTTTGTTTTTTGTGCTAGTCTGGGATTTGAGGATGGAGAGTGAAGACAAGGTGATTGGAGAGTGGGTATAGACAGATGGGAAGTTTCAGTCCAGCAAGGGAACAATTAAAACAAGTGGTTCAGCGACTGATGCTTGCTAATGATAAGAGGGATTTATATGAGATGGATGAGAGACTAGGGTTGTGAATAGTGGGGAAGGAAAGATAGACATTTTTTTAATTTTTATTTTTGGTGTTGGGAGCTGAACTCAGGAACTTGTACTTGCCAGGAAGGCTCTGCCTCTGTGTTATATTCCCAGCTAAAATTTGACTTTTGAGCTGAGTTCTGAAGGTAATTTTGGAACAAGAGCTTGAGTGAAGGAAGCTTCCTGTGTTGGGAGAACAGAAAGGAGGAAAACGGGGTTTGGGCAGTAGAGGGACAGGGCAAAGAGGAAGACAAAATCTGAGAGCTGGGCAGGGCTGGATGGTGGCTGTCTCAAGGACATGGTAAGCAGTGTGGAGGTTTTTGATCGGAGACGTTAGCAGGAATTATGAAGGCATTTGCCCCATTCTCCATCATAGGCTTAGACTTTGCAAGGGAAGGAGGATATATCACTGACCATGACTACTGCTGACCAATCCTTCCCCTGGCCAGTTTCCTCACCTATAAAATAGGAGACATGATAGATTCCATTTGTGTCACTCAAAGGGATCTAATGGGGGTTAATTACCATCCTGTCTGTAATATACTTGGATCTCTTTAGCGAAAGGCACTATATTCCATGAAAGCAAAGCCTTATTCTAATTGTGTATTTATTGATTAAGTGACAGTCAAAGACAATGCTTATGGGGAAAATTGCTGTATCTCTGCTCTCCACAAATGTATCCCAGGTGGATAGATACAGAACACATTTAAACTTACATGTAAGAACATTGACGTAGTCATTAACAGGTCATTTTAGCATGTCTAATCAGACATTATTAATAGAATTAAAAGATACGTTAATTAGCATTCAACTAGAATTTAGGTTTTTATGGCATAAATAGTTAAATTGAGGGTTGGAGATGCCCTTTTCCATTCATAATAGAGCAGATGGTTGACTCTCAGGAAAATTTTGTCTTGGGAGAATTTATGGAGAAATGATGTTTCAAGCCAGCCAATATCTCCTTATGTGGAAACCATGCCCTTAGTTGCTGTCTTAGAAATGAATATTTCAAATGTAGGTGTAATCCAAAATATATTTCTGCCAAAATTGATTTCAGTAGGTTTCCAAACTTTTTTTTGTTCTGTTTTGGTTTTTTTGAGATAGGATCTCGCTATGTTGTTCAGCTTGACCTTGAACTCATGGTGATCTTCCTGCTTCAGCCTCCCAAGTGCTGGGACTATAGTTGTATGCAACACCATGTCTGGCTTCCAAACATTCTTATACGGATGTATGAATTACATTTTATTATCTAAACCTGTAGTGTGTTTTTTATGCACTCTGCCTCACAAGGAACATAGCTGGATGTTTCCTTAGCATGCAAAATATGCTGGTCTTTGATCTTGTATTGACCTGTATTAGGAATTCCAATGTGTGTTGACATTCAACATGGAAATCAACTTTGGTTGACTTGTGTTTGTTTGTGCTTTACTGAAGAGCTAATATGAATAATGGTTTAAAGAAAATCTACCCACTTTAATTCTGTTATTTTTACTTAGCAATAGGATATTTTGGAGGGAGACTGTCTCGCCTAAATATTGGGGTTATAAGCTGTTGGTTAAAGTGATTCTTTAGAAGTCCATGGTTCAGTGAAAATATTGAGTCAGGATATTATAGTTTTAGATGCTGAAAAATGGCTTGTCTATATTTGAATCTTATAAAACGTGGTGAAGAGCATACTGAACTTTGTGTTTGCAACAAATAAACTTGTTAAAGGATAAACGCAGTATCAAGGTTCTGCAAGTATCCTAAGTAGCTATTTATACACTTCACTAATCTTTGTAATTGCCTTGTCTTTTACTGCCATTAATTAGATGATGTAGTATTCCATTAATAAAAGCGAAACACCTCAGCATTTTTACCTTTAATTATAGACTTCACTAGACATACAGGTTATTGACAAAGTGGCCTAAATATTGCCTGACACACACATATATTTTTTTGTTCTCTCTTAGCATCCTTACCCTTCTGAAGAACAGAAAAAGCAGTTGGCACAAGACACGGGACTCACCATCCTTCAAGTGAACAATTGGTAAGTAATTTCGCTTTGTGTTTACACGCAGACTGTTTCCCCCTCTTGCAACCTGCAGCTAATTGTGCATTATGAAGCTAGTTGTGCATTATGAAGCCATACCCAGTTGCTGTGCTTTCTTCTCGGCTTGTTGATCCGAAGGTGAAAACACTGCAATATGAGAAATAAGGCATTGTGTTGTCTTCCACTTCTTTTGTACATGGACAGGTTTTGTGTACAGAGTGAGTATGTGTTTCATTTATACTCACTATGGTTCTGAAAGTGTATCCCTCTCTTTTGTCTTTTTTTCCCTCCAAGTTAATCTGTATCACCCTATTTGCTATAAAACAATCTGTCATTCCATATCAGGCAGTTTTAAATCCATAGGTTAGATTTTTTGGGAGGGGGTTGTGTGTTCAAAGATGGTTTTATTTCTCCTGTTCAACTTTCATCCCCCAAATACTGAAAAGAAATTATTTCTCTTTCTATGTTGATGCTCTTCAAACCCAAATGTATCTCAAGGTTGTGCCAAAGTGTTTCTAAATCAATTATAAATTCCTGATTTGGGGCAAAGCTGAGATTTTATACCACCCAATGATATTTTGACAATGTACAGCAACATGACAAGACTTTGAGAAAGTATGATTTATTACCTTTTGTGGATGTGCTGAAAGCCAGGTTTTATTTAGTCACCCAGCACCAGTGTCACATTTGAAGGCTATCGAAATCCAATATCCTCTATAACTAAGTGTATCTAATTAATTGTCCTAATATTTTTAGATTAGTGTTTATGATGGAGAAACCTTATCTTCTTTGAAGTAAAAGTCCAAAAAAGGCCCAAAGCCTGTGTGGGGAAAGACGAGAACTTGGAATGCCAGTTTGCAGACAGAAGTATTTCTTTCTATTTAATAAGTGGCACAGATTAATATTTCAGAATCTCTGATTACATGGCCTAATCCATTTTGGTGAATAAATTTGTTCTTGATGTCCATTGCACCTACATTAACAGACCCTGCTCTGATAGAAAGCCTAGGAGCCTTTGGGAGAGATTTCAGATATATTAAACCCCATTACGGAAAATGTAATTTCTGTCAATATAATCCTGTGTATTCTCCAATTTAGTATTTTAGAGATAACAAGCTACTTACAATATATTTGCCTTTGGAGGATTAATTTACAAAGTGCACTATCTGCAAGACACAGACAGACTCACATAAGCATTGCTTGTAAGGGTTATCAATTTCTATGACCTTACTGCAGCCTTGAGAGATCAATTTTGCAGCCCTTTTAGTCAGTGAATAGGAAGCCAACCTAAAGCGTACTATGTTTAAATGTGATGCTAAGAGTTCTGTCACTCCTGAGGTATTTGTGTTTGCCTATTTTTACCTGATATTACATTTTAATTTTCAGACTGTTGATATGGCATATTTGAACCATGTTTTTCATGGGTTCTGCATGATACCAGAGGGAAGACCATCAATTTTACATGCACACCTAAACTCACATATTTTAAAATTTAAGCCAAGATGACACAATCTCAATACAAGGAAGCTGCACCTTTCTGTTTCCTTGAGAAATGTTCTTATTTGAAGATAAAGGAGTGGCAGGCAAGCTTGCTAATTAAGGAACGCTAACACATTGCCTCCCAGGTGATCTATCAGACATGCCATCTCTTTTTCCTTAGTGTTGCTAGCAAACTCCATTCCTAAACATAGTAACCAGAGAATAAATTCCAATGCAACTTGCTTTTTATGGGCAGGCCATCGTATGAGATATTTCCTATGAGTTCATGGGGCAGGGAAGCATTTCTATAATATCAAATACTGCATATGAGGTGTATAAAAATTGTGGCAAATGTTTAAATTTTTTAAAAAATTACAATAGAAGGCACATTGCAATTAATTCCCCTTATAATATTTCCTCCTCGCTTTGAACAGTCTTATTCCATCTTTCTTACCATTCTGTGAAGTAATTCTGTAAATCCTCTTTCATGAGAATCTTTAGTTGCTCTCTCATGATTGCTTCAATGTCCTGAAAAGGTTCAAAACATTTCCCTTTCATAGACAGTTTGACTTCTGGGGAAGGCAGAAGTCATGTGGTACTAGATCCAGTGAATAACACAAAAGAGCACACAAGGGTGTTTTCATGAGCCTGCTTTTCTCTTGGATGGCATTTGGTAGGCACACTCACCATATTTCTGATTGTATCTTGTAAAGGCATTCATGAAAGAGGACTTCACAACTGCTTCAGAAAGTAGCAAGCATGATGGTGTAAGGAGGGTTCAAAGTGAGGAGGAGCCTTTTGGGAGAAACTAATCACAATGTGTCTTTTTTACTATATATTTTTTTTAAATTAAGCCTTTACTTCGCTGTTTTGATCACACCTCATGTGTATTGTCATTTTCCATCTCCCATTGGACAATAACAGGTCCTAGTCAGGGATCACAATTTAACTTACTTCATATTGTAATTAGAAAGGAGAAAAAAGTTTTTAAATAATAACATATTAAAAATAATTTTTAATGTACATGCAGACTTTAAACTTCAGATTGATACTTAACTTGGCTCAGATACATAACAAAAAAATCACTTTTACTTGATTATTAGGGCAAATCACAGTTCTGTGCTGACCTGGCACTTTGTATAGAGTTCTCTCTCTCTTGTGATTCCTGGAGTTAGAAGTGGCTTTTGTTTGTACTTCATTGCATTTGGCTCTTAACACCTTTGCTGTAGAGAATGTCCCTAAAGTAACTAAAAGATATAAGAAAGATTGTTTTATTTAAGTTTAGTGAATAATGGAATTCTTGCACTTCATTTCAATGGTTTATTAATTTTCATTCAAAACTTCTCTTTGAAGAAGATGGTAATAGATTTATTTTTCTACAGGTTTTGAGTAGGAAATATGATACAAAAATAGAGACACTGGATGGCACAATTTTGAAATCAAAGATGTCAGTCTCAAACTGTGGCCTATTTGAAGACGAAAAATCAGAAATTATGAAGTGGGTTGCTTTTTTACTTTACTGTAACAAAACTACAGTAATCCTTTTTGAGAGTTTGTAAACATTTTTTTTCTTCTACTGACCATCAGTCCTTGATGCTGTCTTTCTAAAAATAATAAGTTTTTGAAAAATCATTGCTTTTTTTAGCATTCCCCTTCACTTAGCCACAACATCTAAACATTTATTTCTTCCTTTGATTTCTTAAAACTTGTTAACTCACAGGTAAATTTTGGTCAGAACTCTGAGTCACTGTTGAAGAGATTTCATAAAATGCTGACGGACAGGTTGGGTATAGATCAGTCATAATTACTGGCAGCAGCATAATGTATTAGAATACACAATATGCTAGTGAAAAATACGAACTCCTGTCTCGTGTTAGCTTGTCATAGCAACTCTGCTTTCAGCTCGCAGTTAAGCTTTGAAAAACGACACAAAAAGTTTGATCCCTTGTAATGGTTCCTTCTCTCTATCTTTGAATTAATTTTATACCTTTTTAATTGGCATAAGTGATATATGCTAACTGCCTTAGCTGACTAAGTCTGAAGTCAGTGAAACCTGAGAAAGAAGGTGGCAAAAGAAAATTTCTATACAAAACAAGACGGATTTCATGAATTAAGAGAAAGTTTAGAGTAGAAAAACTGATTGTGATAACTTTAATTTGGCTAGCTTGTCGAGACAAAAACAAAAAGAAGAAATTTAAAAATTGTCTGGCCTTAGTACTTACGGCATTTAGGCCCTGAGATAGAATTTGAAATTTGTTACAAGAGAGAACATCATGTCTATGCCAATACATCGTTTGTTTTTTTTTTTTTAACAATTGAAGCAATTATGCAAATAATTTGGGTAAAATATTTTACTTAATTTATCTAATTTAAATGAGGTAATTACATGGTTTTCAAGCAAAAATCAACTTTCTAGTTGCCTAAGTATTTCAACCTATTATGTTGTGGCCAACATAGACTTAAACTTTTGTCATTTTGGAAATATAATATTCATAGTAAATTTATGCATTCTTCCTCCCAACTATAATTTTATCCAAGAATGGTAAATAATCACATTTGGGGCATTTGTCTCTTTGTTTTTGCCTTGTTGTGATGACAAATATTTCTGCTATATAAGGAATGAAAACATACTGAGCAATTTTGTCATTTAAGTAGAAATATCTTAAATTCGAGGGGTGATAAAGTATTTAAATATTTAGGTAAAATTTCAAAGAAACTATATATACACATACAGTCAATACTTGGTGTTGTTTTTTTTTTCTTGAGTAGACAAAGTTTTAGTATTTTGTTTTTGAAAATTTGGATACGGAATGGTTTATTTGACTATACATACTTTCACACCAGTGTTGCAGACCTGGGAATTCCCTGTGAGGAAAACTTAGGCCTCGATTTGTGTTGTACTTACTGAACACCTCAGATATATCCTGCCTCAGCAGACTTCTATCTTGGTGTATACTGAATAAAGTTTACAGTTTCTTTGTTTACTACTTTTTATCCAAACACTTTTTTAGTAAGGTCTGATATTAAATGATTATCCCTTGATGTTCTGAGAAGGTGATGTTAGATGCCAGATATATAATGTATGTGGACCAAAAAACCTCTGTCCTTCAGTGGGATGTATAAAATTCTAGGTAGTATCCTAACATCCGATGCAATACTGTTTGGAACTACTGCACTGTACATTTCTTCCATTTAGGGCACATACTAGACTTTCCTTGTTACTTCATTTATTGCCTTCAAAACTGTAAAGCATTCAGGCATCACATCCCATTTATTACTCGTGAGGAAAAAGAGTGTGTTATCCTTAGAGATTTATGCCACTGGCAGGTAAAAATGTAAACTTACGTTTCAAAAATCAGATCTCTTGTATTATAATAAACAGATGCAATGGTTAAAGGTCAAATTTCTTTCTGAGTTATGGTAATGTAGCAAATACTTTTATAAATAATCAAAGATTCTATAAATATAGGTACTTGTTTAGATGTAAATGTTAAAACATTCACAAATTATCCTTTCAA